CACAACTTCTGGGTTAAATACAATATCAAATAAAATACTGCTCCAGACTGAGAAGTAACAGCTGCGAAGGTCTGGACACGTCTGGTGAATGCCTTCTTGAAGGCCAACAGGAAGGCAAAGGAGGTACTACCTGTCCAAATGACCGGCAGATTACTTCGGGAATGATCCAGAATAACCTCGGGCAAGTTAATGGAATCACTTTTCTCCAGAAAATGATTTTTATCTGTCAAAGCCGAAACACTGGCACAGGTTAGGGAACGTTAGACACTGCCTGGAGCGTCTACCTCTACAACAAGAAAGGTTAGGCTGTCCTCGAAACTGACTTACCGATAAAATACAAAGAAGCAACATTTTTACATGTTCTTACATCATCGTATAGTTCACAGACAATCACAGGCGGCACATGCCGTCTAAATGGTGCAGAAAAGTAGAGAAGCCAAATACTCGCAATCTACTGGGATACATTTCAGTGACTGATTTTACGCATAACTTTTCTAAGACAAATTTCTGTTAAGCATGTTATTTAGCCGTTTTCTTAAACAAAAAATTCTCATTTTTTGATTCTGAATCTTTGAAAACCGCTTTACAACTAAACCCGTGTTTTATATGCATCACTATATTATTAAAGTTAACATACTATCCCACATATAGTACGCGGACTAGCATCATGGTGATTTTTGACCATGACATTAGACTGCGTCAAAGTATGAGTTCTTGGTCGTGCTGCTACTTAATTATGGTTGTAGTACTAAGAAGAGCTACAACAAAATGAGTATTTTTGATGGGCAAAATAAACTTTTGATTTAATGTTTTTATAACTACAGCTTTTAAACGCTGAAGGTTCGACCTATAATATGCTGAGGACCCTCTTGCGCACTGAGTTGATCCACTCTGCTTTGAACTGACTGTAAACAAAGTTCCTGGCACCTTATTTCACCGCTAAATCGGAATGCCTGATGCAATAACATCTAAGGGCTTAAGCTCCCGAATTATCTGCACAGGTCGGTAATTGGGGACGAATCGGACATGTTGCAACGCCCGTCATTCATCACGGCTTCAAGTCTTCTCCTAAGCGAAGTCTTCCTCGTTCTTGACATAATCATTCAATCGTCATTGAAGATCGCCGTACCCGCCAGGCTACTATCTAAGATCATCTCTCATCGCTGACCGGAGTTACGTGTCCGGTCCCAACAAACCAATCTGTTTTCGGTGAAGACGTCTTTGACTGTTTAATCAAAGAGCCGGGAATGTGCTCGCGACTTTATGTTTACAATATTCTTCTTTCCATGGTTCTCTCAGTGACAGTAGGAACGATGTTGGGCTTTACTGAGTGACCACATCTCCAAGCCATATAGTGTCGCGGAAGGAGCGACAGAATTAAAAAGATTCGTCAACCATCAATGTTTGAGATGGGTTGGAGCAATCCCTTCATGCTGGATCAGAATTTGGTCAATCCTCGAATGGTATTTTCACAGCCGCGACGTAATGTCTCATCTAGTAGGAATCATTTTATGCCGTTTCTCCAATTTCTCCAACCATAGATATGGTCTCTAGATTTATGGACAAACATCGACTTCGTGGAATCTGATACTCTAACCACAAGAACAAGCTGCGAGCAACGAATTACGGAATCATTTTAACACCATCAGCACAAGACCAAGTCAGGAATCAATAAAGCTAAAAAATGAAATATAATCAAACCTCGTCTCCCTTTGCGGCTGCGACATCATGATGATTTCAAAGAGCAAAAATATCAGAGCACTGCCCACATTATGCTAAATAATAATAAACAATAAGCACAAACGGATCAATGTGAAAAATATGACTCAGACCACAGGTGAGTGGTAATGCAAAGCAAAAAACAATGAAAATGTTTTCATTTTTACTGAACTATTAACGCTGTCATCAAAAGTGACAAGAGCGGTATCGAACAGAACTATTTCTCATCAGAACGCAAAAACTTTCATAATCATCCTCATTTCGTCTTCACCCCGCATCTGTCGAATTAGATGAGTCGTTCTCATTTGTTTTCACCGCTTTTCTCCTCCTTGTTTGCCGTCTCCGAATCGGAGCCGGAACTGGATCCGGAAGAACTCGCTCGATCCGCAGCCATCTGAAATCAATTAATACTCTTAGCAACATTGATCTGGTAAAAACAAATGGCGAAAAAATAAATCACCTTTTTGTAAGCGGTTTCGAACAACTTTAATGACGCCTGCTGTAACTGATTGGTGGCTTGACGAATGTTTTCCAAAGACTCAGTGTCCTTCTTGGCCAGAATTTCGCGCACTTCGGCGATTTTTTCACGCAATTTAGCCATCTATCACAAACCAGCCTTTCATCATCACTTAAAGTATCACATTGACAAACCTCATCTCCTGGAAGCTGGTCCTTGAACTCATCCATCTTGCTTTCGGTGTCGTGAATAATGCTCTCAGCTTGGTTTACCGCCTCGACCACTTCCTGAAAATCGTCAATGAAACACCGAATACATATGAACTTGCAAAAAATGACTGACTTTGGATTGAAAACAAGTATGCAATTTGCATCGCGTGCTTTTCTGTTCATGAAATTCTTTGAATGGGTTTCTAAGCTGATGAATGACCATTTCGGTATCATGTAGATTAAGCCGCTCACGGCACATTATGAATATACTTTAGTGTACCTCTAGTTGCAAAAAAGATAGCAAATTTTCCTTTACAACGATGTACCTGATCTGAAGTAGCAATCCAAAAAGGTCAAGGTGAAATATTAACATATCGCGCATTCTAAAAAGATTAAACTACCTGAAAAACATCTCTGAGACTGTGCCCCTTTCCTATAATCCGAAAAGGTGTAAACTCACATGATCAAATTACCTAACTAATTGGCCAATTTCGACTATACAAACGACAAAAGCACAATGAAGCCTACCTCCTGGTTCTGATCATTTACGTAATATCGAAATATTTCATGTCCCAAAACCTAACATGGTTCCAACGGCATTGGAGAAACGTTCATAAACTGAGGAAAAAAACTGCTCATGAAAATAGGTGTTAAAATCAACTGTCATATTCATAAAAGTTCCTTGGTTTGTAGGAGAAGGCTGTTTTATAGCTGCAACTACATTTGATATAAAAAATAGGAAAAAATCTGACTTTTTTGATGGTTTTTCATAACACATTTGCCCCGTTCTGTTTTCGTATTCTCTGCTGTTCGTTTCGGTACTAAGACAAAACTGCCCCATTATTACATCTACGTGACAATTTTACTTGCAATCACCAAGAATGGTACTCGTTTTTCTATCTCGAATGGCTGAAAGGCGAACATCTCTCTCCAGCAGTCATGGTTCGAAACCCATAATTTAATTCATCGGTTGTAAGGAATTTCATAGAATAATTTCCATTTTCCGATATTTTTAAAAATTATTTACAAAAAAGTTTTGTCCTCTTTTACTTCAATGAAAGCAGGAATTCGTTGCGCAGACCGGGTCTGTTCAGACGGCATGGCGTTGGAGTCTAAGTCAAGAGGTCTCGGGATCCCTAGCATTTCTTTTTTACGTACGTAAAAAGTATCATTCCACTGAATTAACCATGAGAGTACATACTATGCTTGCCACACACTGCTGCACATTCTGTCTTTAAAAAATAAGACACTTCTGGCTGATCGCATAGAAACGCAGCATTAGCATCGCATCACAAAGTTCATGAAATTAACGGCTCCACATACTGTTTCCATTTATGAAATTGCAAAAAAGACCGACATTCTAACGGATGCAAAGTTTCGTTCTTTGTTGAATTTTTGACGTCTGACAAACACTTTTCGATTAACCTTTATGTGTAGATGGTAGCGTTTTAGCATAGAGATAAACTAGATAGCTTACGAATATCTACTTTGAGAAAACAAAAAAGTTTGGCTCTGACTGCTCCTCTTACTTTTCTCTTTTTGTCGTCTTCAGCGTGCTTTTCTGCTTCCCGCACCATATTTTCGATCTGATCTTTGTTGAGGCCACCACTCGACTGAATCACGACTAAAACAGTAGTAATTAAATTATCAGTATTCAAATTCAATCGATGAATGATTTAAATTACTTTTCATCAAACAAAATTTTACTTAAAGGCACTGACGAAAGAGTCAGTAGTTCAGTTGGTAAAGACGCTGCAGCGATTTAAAACTCGATTTCCCTGAAGAGCACCGCCGTAAGAAAAGTAAATAGATTCAGAGTATGAATAAAGAAAGCAGCAGATACTTTGTGCTGCACTTTGAGAATCACTTTCGTTTCGAGGAAATATGAACACAAATTCTTAGTGACATTTTTAGAGGCGAAAACAATTATCAGCCTAAGGTATTCGACGGTCGGTTCGTATTCATATTCAAGATTCACAGCTTTGCTACTTCCAGATAGATAATTCACGGGCAGACTACTTTCTATAGGTAAAAATCATAATAGAAATAAAATGATTAATAAAACCCAAAAATGTAGCAACGACGCAAAATAGCGAAGATTTTAAACAAATAGACATCAGTGATATACATTATTAATTTTCACTTAATACCACCTAGACACTGCAAGACTGCGGTGCCCAGGTGTTATTAAATGAAAATTTCAGTGATCCCAAACTAACTGCTGGACGACGCATCTAAAATAGAGTACTGGGGATATTTGAGACGTGCAAGAAATATCCATTAACAACGGTACAAGCTTCGCAAAACAATATTCTACCGAAATGCTTTTCGAAACTTTCAAGCAAAATTCTGTTAAATACATCTGTGTACGCATCAAAGCCTTTTGTTTTGCATTGCGTCAAAACCATTTCAAAGCTCTGATTGAAACCTAAAACACCCAGGCACGAAAGAACTTGTTAATAAAGTATGCAGCCATATCATGTATTATCTTCTACTGTTATTTAGAAAATGACGAATTTAAGAAATGGTCAGTTGTTTCATATATACCACACACAGGATGTGAGTAATATGAAGTCAGGTCAAAACAAAAGCCAAGTTGTTCATCTCTAACGAAACGTCTAAAGTGTCAAAAGACGCAAAAAACTACGAGATGCACAGTTAACTGAGTAAACGCGATTCCTGTTCCCCTTACTCGCTTGCTCTTTGCCGGTGCCTCGGTCTCGGGCGTTCACATGCACGATACCATTGGCATCGATATCGAACGTGACTTCGATCTGAGGAACTCCACGAGGTGCTGGAGGAATTCCAACCTAAAAACAATTTTCTCAATTCCACATCATAACAAAAAGTCTTCAAAGAACCATACCAAAGAAAATTGGCCTAACAGCTTATTATGAGCCGCCATTTCACGCTCGCCCTGGTATACTTTGATTTCAACCTGAGTCTGTCCATCAGCAGCAGTGCTGAATACCTGCAAAGAATCATGTATTTTAGCAAAGATATTCAAGCAAGATATTTCAGCAAAATACTAAACTTCTGAAAGAGGCAGAAAACATTTTTTTTAAATATGTGCTGGTAAATGCAAAAATAATCACATACCACTAAGCCATAAGATATAAAAAGCGGAAACGGTAAAGGCTGACTGCAGTAAACAAATTCATATGATAAATGGGCGTGGCATATGGAGACTCTGCTACGTCTGGCTGAGTTCAAATCAGCGTGTGGTAGCTCTACCATAGTGGAAACAGAGTGGAGTACCATACACAACTGCCATTCAGTAAGGGAGGTATTAGCATAAATGACTATCAGAATATGAATCTTGATCAGAAAAACAAGGAAACTAACATCACTGACAGAGCATAGTCGAAAGTACCGGAACTTAGCAATCGACTCGACGAATTTGTAAGTTTAAAGCTTATCAAGTGCCAAATCAGCAATAAAAAGCTCTAATTCATGGCCGTCTGCGAAACTGACTTTGGCAGGCGAATTACAGGATGAAAACAAAAAATGGAATGCACTACTTTCTGTTATTTCGGAAACCCTTCAAAATGCAGGAAATGGTCAAACGCCAAGAAAAATGACAGGTCATTCTTTGCTGATATCAGATCTGGCCTACTCTGGAGCGTGAAACCCTCTGTTCAGAACTATGAGCTGATAAAGGGTTGGCAACATCGTCTTACAGATAGTGCCCTCAAGTGAGCTAACAGCTTGAACAGATGTCAAAGAGTGAATATTCAGGGAAGATCTTAACAATGGCTAGCAGTAACTGTTAGAGTATTTATTCCATGTATTGAGCTGCCAGAAAGAATCAAGCAAGCAAGGGGGCTAATCTACATAATTTGCGTTCGCGCCAAACTGAAACTGCAACACTGAGGATTCGCACAGTTTATGGACGCGCACGCATACTAGTGAGGATGAACTACAAAAAATAATTCAGGTACTGTCAGCCCCTCTGATGCAAAGAGCCTGGTCCTCAAGGCTACAAAACAGACTAAACTACATGTGAACCTCGTTGAGAAACTGGTTAAACAATGCTGAATATTTTTCACATGAAGCGAAGTCATGTTGCGCAATAGTTGCCGCTATCAGCAACAGCGCGTCCGTTACTCTGAGATTAAACAGGCCCATGAAATGTATATAAACAGAAGGTTAATGGCAAGTCAGAATATTATATACAAGTAATTGCTCTTGCAGCTCTAACAGTCTCAAAGTCTTTGCCAAGAAAGGTGGAACGGATCGCCGGTAGAGATCTGTTCGAGCTGGAATACGTTGAACCGGCTACGGGTGCCTTGACGCAGGGAAACTGATTGGAAGACCTGTGAAGTTTAACGTTTGCAACGGACTGAAATGTACACAAGTTTGATCTGAACCGTTTCCCCACACAAGTTTTTTATGATAGGAAATTTACAAATTCAGTTTTCAGAAATATTCTGTTTAAGCATTATCAAACTGCACCTGGCTTTTTTTTGTCGGAATCGTGGTATTTCTTTGAATTAGTTTCGTGAACACGCCTCCCAACGTCTCTATTCCAAGCGATAAAGGCGTAACATCCAAAAGCAAGACATCCGTAACGTCCCCAGCTAACACCGCTCCCTAAAATTATTAATAGTTCTCATACGAAGGTCCGGCTTAGTTACTGAATTTTAAAGTAAAATATGAAGCATTAAGCAGTTTTATTTATTCTGCTGTTTAGTACAATTATAGATATCGACAGGGTACCTTAAATAACAACAGCCAGAGGACTATAAAATTGCAGGAAAACATGCGAAATTGTTATAAGAATTAAAAGCGAATGCCGCTGTTCAAGAGGCCTCGCAGAAGAAAGTTAGAGATTCAAAGGCAACAAGGGCGGTATTGCTGCTACATGTGAAAAAAATAAAACATTAAGAATGCGTGAGCAATTTCAATGAACACAACACATGTAATAGCTAAGTGTTAGGAAATCATGGTATTAATACAAAGCAGAGAAGCTACATATAACGCTTGTATCTTTGTTGTAACGCGTGTCTTTAGAAGCGAAAAGTCGAATCCCCGAACAGGCAAATTGATAAATACTATCCTCTGTTCAAAAGTATGACGATATGTGAATTAGCCTGGGCAATGTCTTAGATATGGATTTCTTAGATCTTAACCCATTCAAGTGATCCAAAGCTACCATTTTCTCCACACTTCCATGATGTCATTCCTCAAGCACTGTTCGTGATTTTCATTTACATAGTTCATCAATGTCATCTTTTAACAGGGTAAACGTCACGACGAAAAGATCTATCGTATTTTCATTGGAGACCGATACGGCAAATGGCCAATAATCCCTCAGTCATCTTAAACAACAGGAAACAAATGAAGTTTAGACTACGTTACAAATTAAAACTGAACAGTAAATAACTGTCATATTATTGCAGCAAAAAGCTAAACAGAAAAACCAGTGTGACGAACCTACCTGAATTGCAGCGCCAATAGCAACAGCTTCGTCTGGATTGACGGCTTTACTTGGAGTCCTACCGAAAAGTTCTTTGACCGTCTGCTGCACCTAGAAATTGGTAGAACGCAATGAACTTAAACAAAAATTAAAATTTTGAAAATGACTAACTTTTGGCATTCTTGACATGCCCCCCACTAAAAGAACCTCGCCGATATCCGACGGCTTGACTTCGGCGTCGCGCATAGCCTTTTTGCACGGCTCCACCGTTCGCTTAATCAGATCTTGCGTCAGTGATTCGTATTTTGCCCTGGTCAGTTTGTAGTTCATGTGTTTCGGACCACTCGAATCCATAGTGAGATACGGCAAGTTGACATCGGTCTTCAAATAGAAAACAAAGCAATGGAACAAATAGCATAAAAACACGAAAATAATCACTTGAAGCGAAGAAGACAGCTCGCATTTGGCTTTTTCCGCAGCTTCGCGAAGTCTCTGCATCGCCATCGTATCCTTTGTCAAATCGACACCTTGCTATAACGTTGAAAGCAACAGAATTGAAGCTCCTTGTTTCAGAGTAAAAATTAACATTGAAGGACAAACTCTTTTCACCTCTCTTTTGAACTCCTGAACCAAGTGATTCACTAACGTATTGTCGAAATCTTCGCCTCCCAAATGAGTGTCACCGTTGGTCGACTTTACCTCAAATACACCTTTCTGTATCTCAAGAACCGAAATATCGAACGTCCCGCCTCCGAGATCATATACGGCAATACTAAAAACAAAATATAACAGAAAATAATAAAAACAAATTATGGTCAATATTATCCTACACTTTGTCCTCGGTTTTGTCCAATCCGTAGGCAAGGGCCGCGGCTGTCGGCTCGTTAATCACTCTGAGGACGGTTAAACCGGAGATTTGACCGGCATCTTTAGTGGCCTAAAAGAAATAGGTGGCAAGTACACGATAACTCAAGGAAAAAATTCAACAGATTCAATTACAAAAAAAACGAACCTGTCTCTGTGAATCGTTGAAATACGCAGGAACCGTGATAACTGCGTTTTTCACCGGATTTCCCAAATAACTTTCAGCGGTTTCTTTCATTTTTCCCAATACGAAAGCACCTATTTGGCTTGGAGAATATACTTTTCCATGACTTTCAACCCAGGCATCTCCGTTCGACGATCTAACGATCTTGTATGATACAATTTTTCTAAAAAAGCAAAAAGTCAACGTTTTACTCAAATTAAATCAAGGCTTCATGCCAAAAATTATCGTTGAAATGGACATGACGTCCGTTATGCGCCAATCCAAACTGCATCAGATTACGTAAAATTACAAAAAATATATATGGAATGTCTTCAGCAGTAGATTAAGAGATAAGAACGATTCGTTATCTGAATTTGATGCCATAGCTTTTCGTGATATTTTGACACATTTGCTTTTCGAAGATGCCTTCCTGAAGTAAAATTCATTACATCTATTCGCTAAAATCAATTTTTACGCTCCACGTAATGTAAAAAATTGCACAGAGCACTTTCGAAAGACTAAACTTTTTCCTGGAAACTACCCTCTGGTTGAAAGGAAAAGTATTTGAAGAGTATGTACTTTAAGCGATGCCATACATGCGAAACATGGAGTATGAAGTCTGAAAGTTATTCATAAACTGCAGATTACGTAATCCAGCATGGAAAGATGCGTGTTGAGAATAACAAGATAAGAGAGCACGACGAATGAATGAGTAAAAACAAAACAGGATATCTGTGATATCACTGCACGAGTGAAAAATTTGAAATGGCTATATGCAGGACAAATTGGAAGAAAAACTGACGATCATTGAACCAGAGACATTTCCTGGATTCCAAGAGAAAGCCTAACGGCGCGTATGAGGAAACCAAAATCGATGGCAGGATCACCTGGAGTGTGCGGAATCACAAAGTATAAAAATTTAAGAAAACGCGTTTACAGCAGTCCTTGGAGACGGCTTCATCT